TATCTTGGTGTTCAGTGAAATCTATGGACATTTTTATAAAAAAATAATTTAAATGTACATCTAATTGACAAACGTTCTGAATCTTTTGACTGAATATCTAATTAATTACATTTTAAGTGTAACCAAAAGATTAAGAGTAAACACAGTCTTATTCAGCAAAGCTTCATTAAGTCTTAAGTGCCTGCATAATTAATAACCGTCTGCAAGTTTATCAAAAACTCAAAGTTGAATCAAATTTTCTAAAAAAAAATCTTATCTGTGGTTTAATTATCGACCATAGCGCAATGTGTGTCACATTCGTTTTCTTGTCTAACTAAACTGGAATGTTCGTATAGATTAGCCATACCCACGTAATAATATTAGTAGTGCTGCCGATGTTGCCTAAGGTCAAGTACTACATGGTGGGGTTAAAGTAGTTATGTAAACAAATAACTGGTAAGTTAGAGAAAGTATTACATGTTTTATACGATGTCTAGAATTAAGATACACACAAATCCTTGTTATTATCTAACATGTTAGCAATAAAACAAGTCATGAACAAGGGAGGCTAGTCATAACACGCATGTATTAATTAAAGGGTTTTGTAATAACAGATTTATCTACCCTTACAACCGAGCCGATTACGACCACTTGAACGACGTGACTGTGACCTTTGCCCCCATTGGTCTAACTCTTCAGTCCAGGAAATCCAATTTGGTGACAAATATAGGTCAAAGCAACATAAATTTCAATGGTGACAAACAGCTTCCACATCATCAAACAGTTCTATTGCCCTGTTTTTGTTTTTAAATACTTAGATATTTTATTAGTGTATTTGAAGACGGAAACGAACGTCGCTATAAATTCTGAATGGATGTTTGCCATGAAATTTTAAAATAAAAAAGGCTTATGACAAATATTCAACAAAATCAATATACAGAATCTTTATCGCTGAATTAATAAACACGAGGGAATAAAATTAGGCTAATTAATTAAATCTAATTAATTATTTCGCCGATGTGCACATGATATCTTGTTAATTATATAATAAGCACAATTAATTGCTCCTCATTAAAAGATAATCTCTTGGCAGATTTGAGAATTTAATTTTGAGCATCACTTACACATATTACATGTGCAATGCTTACACTTAATAAATATGCAATGTTTATTCAGTTTGCAATGCTTAGACAAACAACACGGGCGTACCTTCCTTGCAAGTATAACATACAGTGCTTACACATTACATTTGCAATGCTACACATGCAACATGGAAAGATTACGTTACGTACAAAAGTCACGTTTAACAGTGTTTGACAATAAAATCAATATGTTGGGCGTGTAGTCAAAATGTGTAATCATGAGTGAGTAGTAATTAGAAATTAGGTCCAATCACGCGCAGAACTAGTGCAGCGTTGAGTCACATGATCGTATTTTTGGGTGACCCGATTGTCACGTGATACGCTTTGTTGTCATGTGACACGATAAGTAACCATGTGACAATAGCTGTTGTGAAGGACTTGAATAACAAAACACTTTAAAGTACGCAGGATAGCTGTGAGATAGAGTAAATAAAGATCGTTGGAAGTAGTGTGAAACAATGTATACAATGTGTGAATAATTGCATATATAATATGTATATATTGGGGTGAGAAGGGGGCAGAGTTTCTTCCAGACATCTCTTCGGGGGCTAATTTATATAATTTATATAGAAAATATATACTTTTAACAGTGTCCACGGCTCAATTGAAAAGATGAATTAAAAATTTCTGATAAAGAATTTAAAAATAAAGATGGTTGATTGTGTAGATAAAGTAGAGTTTAATATTAAGAGGTCAACTGTAGAAGAATGAGTCTGTGTAGCCATATGAAAAAAAACTTTAAAAAAAAAAACATTAGGCAGGTGTCTAGGCTAGGGTTCAAAATTGGTTTATCTATTCCCATCCTGAGGAAATATAAAAGCTCCTTCAAACCTCCGCCGGTCTTCACCCGGGATTCGAACCCCAGTCAATTCGTGTTTGTCAAAGTGAAGATAGTACTCTTGACCATATATTTGTAACCTTTCTTTAAAGATACGAAATGTGGATGACCATACAATCTATTGGGGCAATCTAGACAGGAATTATCTTGTGGTCAGGCTCGCAGCCAGAATTAAACTGGAGCAATTTTAAGTTTGTGTAAGTGGGAGCTGATTATTGAAGACCGTGTCACTGAGTCAGAAATAAATATCTTACAGCCAGAGTGATTAAAAATATTTTAAATTCGCGTACTTGCGAGACTGAATATTTGAGTCAGGAAAATACTTTCTAATAATTGGTGTCCCACATTTTCAAAAAGTCTGAAACAATTCCGCCGATTTCACGGTTTTACCCAGTACTTAATCCTAGTCTTGTAACAAGCAAATCTTCAAGCCAATTTCAGACAACAACGGTACTCTTAGAAACACGTCGATTTTTTCGTCCAAACGAACAAAAAAAAATATACCGTAACACACAAAACCACCATTTTGTATTAACTACTCACGTATTACCTCCAGTATAATTACTAATTATGTAAAGATGTGTATAAGTGGTGTGAGGTTGTTTTTTTTATGTCACTACTACACTTTAACAGTACTCACAGTGCTAATCCCGCGTACTTCGCCTAAACGCGCACTGCGATCAGAAGTCACAACAACAGTGCAGACAATAATTACTATACGCCTGGTGTAATTATAAAACTGGTTTACCGTATACGTATCATCAAAGTTTTCTCTATGTAATAACTACGGTACGCTTACTAGTACTCGGGGGGGGGGGGGGGGTGGGGGTGGGGGGTGGAACTGAGGGCAATTACAGTTCCAGGAGAGCAAGACGCGGCCCGCGGGCCTACTGTGTTTTGAGACCCGCTGTACTGTACCTACCGTTGTCTTGATTGTTTTGGCGAATCGATCCAGGTCGAGAAACGTGATAAAACATGGCGACAGCTTGATGGGGTGGGTCACGTGGTATCATTAACAAAGGTAGAAGACTTGAATTGATTAGGGTTTGAATTTTTTTTTTAAATTTGTTTATTAGGCTTAGCAGGTGGAGAGGGTTGTGAGTTGTGATCACCCACTGCAGGTGAGGGGATGTGAACTGTATTCACCTATGGCAGGTGGGGGGGGGGGGTGAGTTGTGGTCACCCACAGCAGGTGAGGGGGTGTGAGTTGTGGTCACCCACAGCAGGTGAGGGGGTGTGAACTGTATTCACCTGTGGCAGGTGGGAGGGGGGGGTGAGTTGTGGTCACCCACAGCAGGTGAGGGGGTGTGAACTGTATTCACCTGTGGCAGGTGGGAGAGGGTGTGTGATGAGAAATGGCATAACGCGAGTATTTACTTTACACTTGGGTTACTGAACTGTGAACTGACACGGGGTAAATACACACTACGTGTATGAGTTGTTTAGCTCGTGTAAACACGGGGTCAATCCATACCGATACAATGTTGTCAGATTGTAAGTTTAGAACGTATAGGTAGATGAACATATGGCACATATTTAATTCGGACTAAAACGCATTAGTTACCCAAACAATTGGGGTAACTATAGCTACGGAGATTGAAGGCTTTGAAATCTGCAGAAAGAGCATTAAACAGAAAATATAAGTAGGCCTACGGTGATACTGGTATGAAGACAGAGTACAATATGCGTAGACAAATGCATAGTAGTCGGACTAAAGTACTTTATGGCTGTTTAAAAATAATTGGCTGTACAAAAGTTGGTTCTTGATGGTTGAACAAAAGTACTTCATGGTTGGACAAATATACATAATAAATAAAAAAGCAGGTTTACATAAGGCCGGACAATTAGACCAAAGCGAGACAACAAAAACCACAAATTTAGTTAACCAAAAAAAAAACCAACTTGGACCTGGGAAGTGAATCTACTCACAGTCAACAGAGCGCCACATGCACGTGCGAATAAGAGAAAATGCACGTGCAAGCATGTTGTTTTACTTCGTATGCTATTACAGTCCATGCTTATAGTAACGTAGAATAACTTCAGTGTCCATTATGTTAATAACAAACCCCACCTTTAACCAAACACCAGCAGGGTAAACATGTCATTTACAACCATTTACGTGTCGTTACAGCCATTTACATGCAATTTACAACTATTGAGGCTGTCTTGTGTTACACGGCAAAGTTTATTTGGAAAATGTAAGGCGAATAAGGTGGCTAGGCAAAGTGGATGGTAGGGGCTAGGCAAAGCGTATGGTAGGGGCTAGGCAAAGTGTATGGTAGGGGCTAGGCAAAGAGTACGGTAGGGGCTAGGCAAAGTGTATGGTAGGGGCTAGGCAAATGTGTGGTAGGGACTAGGCAAAGTGGATGGCAGGGGATAGGCAAATGTATGGTAGGTGCTAGGCAAAGTGTATGGCAGGGGCTAGGCAAAGTGTATGGCAGGGGCTAGGCAAAGTGTTTGGTAGGGGCTAGGCAAAGTGTATGGTAGGGGCTAGGCAAAGTGTATGGCAGGGGCTAGGCAAAGTGTATGTTAGGGGCTAGGCAAAGTGTATGGCAGGGGCCAAGCAGTGTATGTTAGGGGCTAGGCAAATGTATGGTAGGGGCTAGGCAAAGTGGATGGCAGTGATTAGGCAAGCTGTATGGAAGTGGTGGCCTAGACATTAAATTCAACTCGGGTATGAGTTGGACGTGTGTAGCAGGTGAAGTAGAGTTAACCTGTTTAACCAACTCAGCGACTGGCATAAGATGATACTTGACTTATCAGCGCCTAACCTTGTGTATTTACTCTAGGTCTAGGGACGGCTATGTGACATGTAACTGATTTCAACTATAGATACAACCCCAAGACTTACAAAATAGCAGTCGTGCGCACTACAACTTGACCAGTTGGAAACTGCATGCTTGTTAAGTATTTTTTTTTCTAATAACACTTTGATAATTGCCTAAAAATAAACTAGGTTCACATGACTCAATTGTCCACAATTACAAAATGAGTCAAAGGACATAGCTAAACATGCACGTGCATTAAGAAAATGTACTCACGCCAAACCAGTAGACACAACTACTCCACACAGCAGATCATTGTTTTTATAATCCTGTCATCGAAGGAGCTGCAATAAGAGGAGAAAATAAACGCTGTTACATGGTACACCAAATACACACAACACTCGGGGCGCTGGGGTGTGGGGGTGTTCTTACCAATAACAAAATAACAGTTACTAGAGGTGTGGGGTGTTCCCAGCGATAACAAAATAACCCTTAGAGGTTTTTGGTTGACAAGGATATAGATAAACAAGATTTGTTGAGCGGGGTTAAGATGGGTGGGGGGGGGGGGGGGGGGGTTCGGTAAGTGGGTGTAGTGATTATACAATGATAGAAATACACGAACACTCGTTAGGTAAATTGTAGCATTGAATTTTACGGTACATGTTAAGCGTGTTTTATTTGATAATCCAAAAAAACTGTAAAATACATGGATATTGCGATGATACTGTATACTTATGCTTCATAATCAATAAAAAATCGATTGGCATAATAAAGTTAATAACATCCGTGCACTAAGATATTGAACCGACCCCCTCCCCTTCTCGATTATATTGTATGTGCATGTATATAGCTAACTAGTTTTTTGTAAATCATTAGCGATTGTAATAGAAATTTCATAATAAATCATTAACTGGATATTTACAACTAATCAAATGGTATCTATTACTTTTTACACAACCTAGTATTGTTTTGTTGCAACCTTTCTTTCCTTCAACCAAAAAGAATACCCTAAAAATTGGGAGTACCCCGGGGTTGCTGGTGGTGGGGGGAAGGGTTGGGTAGGCATGCTTAGAAGATGATCTGTATAACAAGTTTTAAGTAGACTTTCAAACTAGACTGTTTATAATGTAGATAAATTGCTTTGTTTGCCTGCCTGACCAGTTCATCGAGTAGATTAGGTGGGTCAACATGATATCAAGCGGGCTTTCCTTTCCCTGGCAGTCTATGGCAACCAGAGCTGGTTGGACTATGTGGCGTCCTACAGACTGGGGATCCGTTCATGTGTATATATATATATATATATATATATATATATATATATATATATATATATATATATATATATATATATATAAACCAAGTGTTCGCCCACCCTATTATAACAGGAATACTTCTAAGTTAACTATTCCTACAGCTAGTTAAGAGACAAAAGATACAATTGAAGAGAGATATCCAGTGTAGTGTGTACACCACCAGAGTTACCTAACACCTACAAACCACGGCAGGGGAAAATATATGACCGCATAATTGTCTCCCTTTATCAGGCAAACCGTCGCTTGTCTCCCATGTCTCGCCTCAGTATGGCTACCCTCCCCTTTACCCTAATCAAATGACTTGTAATCTCTTTTTCTCAAGGCCACCGCATACACCTGTAGCCGTTCACTGTGACCTGGATGTGTGGTGACAACACACACACACATGTAGATTATATCTGCAGTTGCAGCTGCGGCATATACTAGCTCTATAAACTTGAACGGGCAATAACTAGTATGTATTAACATGCTGTCTATATCAAGATACATATACAGGCCTATAGTTATACAAATATATATATATATATACAAATATATATATATATATATATATATATATATATATATATATATATATATATATATATATATATATATATGTCTGTATATATATAGCCGATAGATAGATAAATGTAAAGATGAGCAGATGGAAGTATAAATACAAGAACATAGAGAAAATTAGAAAATATAGAAAAATATTAGAAAATATGTGTAGAATGATAACTATATAGATACGACAAACAGATTTATAGACGGATAATAGATAACTTAGTGAGAAAACTACCAGATGAACAATGATATCAGACCCTCGGGTTATCCCCCACCCCCACCACGTCGATTAGTTAAATTAAGCGTACAGTACTAAAACAGGCGCTCATCGAATCAACAGGGCGGACTATATCCCCAAGGCGCTTACATTACTCCTATCATGGGGCGGTGTATGGGGGGAGGGGGGTGGTATGGGATGCAGGATTAAACTTTTCAAACGTATGTAACCAGATGAGGAGGTGGGGGTGGGTGGAAAGTGCACAAGGGACGCAACTCAGCACAGCAGAAGGTCGGGATTTGTTTTAGGCGCGCCCGTGTCAAGCCTGACACAAAGCGTACACCAGGCGCTGGGTCAGGCTCACCTAGAGCAAGGGATGTAAGGCTACACAGGCCTAGGTCACTGGGAACCTACGGCCTTATGTCTACACGGCGTGACATTACAACAATCAGATCACGATCAAGTTTTTCCGGTACTCCGTTTAAATTCGCAAAGGCTCATATTAAATTGTGCTGGATTCGCAATAAAAAACAGAACAAAACAAAAGCGGACAATGAATACTTTACGCTTTTAAGAAATAAATAGAGCAAAAAGAGGAATAGTCTTCAAATACTTAAAGCAACGCCTATTGTGATTCCGTTTTAACACACACATAATGAATACCAGACCAGCTAAGCAACATTCTTCGTAGAAAGCAGCGAGTGGACTATTTTTTTAAACAATTCTAGTAGGGCTAAATTCTACAATACAAACGAACAGGTCTAATTAGCCCAATTGATACATTTTAAAACAAAGCACTATTGAAGAAAAATAACATGTAGATCTATGTTGCCTTGGTAAACAGTAAAATATGGCACTTAATGTAGTTGATGAGCTACATCAACAGATTTATTTAAACCCAAAAGTTTCTATAATTCGGGTTAGAGTTATAGGCCAGTTTAATCTGTAGGCTAATTAATTAGGACCTATTGCATTTAAAATAAGTGGTTCTTTCACCAAATTTGTTATGAAAACAAAAAGAAAGAAAAAAGCTAAAACAGTAACTTTATTTTGCAGTTTACAAACTTATACTGCTGAAAAAAAAAGTCAAATTTACATAAAATATTCTATTTCAGACTTCGTGACTGATACCAAAAAATAATAGAATGAAAAGAACTTGCCTGATGATGAGTGTCACGAAGGCAACAAAACTACACACACGTCACCATCTCTCATCAAAGGTGACCCAAATTTGGCCTTTATCTACTTGAACAGTGGTAACATAATGAGCGAGATAAGACGCTATCGATGTTTTTAAAATAAGTTAAGTAAGATATTGGGCCCTTAACACACTAGGCCCTAGGGGTGTAACACAGCCGTGTTAGGCTAGTGTGTAGCCGAAAGATGGGAAAACTTTGTTGAATCAAAATTGGACTTCTTTGTTTCGGTGAACTATCAACATCAAAAACTGGCCACAAAGGGCGCACGACAACATTATATAAAAATGACGAAGTTAAAGTAGTTCCTACGAATAACATAAAGCCTTTTAAATTGAGAAAAAATGCATTAATTTAAAAAAATTAAAACAAAACCAACTGATTTTCAGGAATGCTTAAAAAAATGTCAACAGAAGAAAACAAACCATTTTAACGGAACAAAGTAATCCCCGTTTTGTTTTCACGAAGTTCAACTAAAATAACCTTCTTTGTTTACACACGCTGTGTTAGCCCCGTCCGCATGCTCGCACACTACACACCTCGCACGTCAACAAAAACGACGACGTCATTACAACCGCGTCATAAAAGCTATAAAAAAATTACCAGTATCACAAGAATACATTCATCAACCTACCACTGTGTAAATCCAGTACTAGTCCAACTACAGTCAAAACTTATCGCAGCAAATATCCACGCCACGCACCGCGCTACAACTCAATGAACGCGAACTCTGTGTGTCGCGAGTGGTCCCCCTTTGAACAAAGACTAGTTTTCCCAGCGAGCGAAGATTTTTGCGCGCTGTCGCTAGCAAGCTGGTGGTGGTGGTGTTTTTTTTTTTTTCCACCGGCGTCATAGCAAAGCTAGCGACAAATCTTTCGACAAACTTCTACTGGGTGAAATTTACCTGTAGCGCTCAAAAATGTTTTCTTTGCTACCAATTAAAACTCAAATGTTCTGTCTTCGCAACTATTGGTGCATATTTTATGAGTTGTAGACAAAATATTTGATTTAAGACATAAAACGGCGTTAGAAGTAACGGAAGTTTTAGCGCCACAGATCATTTTTATTAAAGTTAATTATTTAATTAAGTTTTAACTTGAATAAATAATATAATAGTTTTAGATCTATAATCGGCTGGAAGTGCAGACAATGGAAAGCGGCCTTACTTAACGTGTGCTTAAAAAATGTGATAACTTTTTAAAATCAAAATTAACCATTTTTTTAGTAAAAAACTTAAGGATTATAGATCTAGTGTGTTGGCATATCGATAACAATCACTTTCATAAGCGTCCCACAGTATGTAGCATCTAAGCTTACGATTCTCATCAAAACTATAATCTACCTCTTTCTACGTAGTGTCGAAGTTAACAATTCAATTACATTGTTTCGTCTTTAAAAATAATATTACGAAGTTTCTGAAAAAATTATTGACGATATGAAGTTGCCGTATGCAGTCACTGTACCAGGCGAAAATTCCGTTTGCGATTTTATGATCCAGGGTAGGTGTTTAGAAAGTGCGACGCTATACTTTTACACTTTAACAAAATATTTTTTGTAAAGATAATATTTGTAGTTTTTTGCCAGTTCGAATATAAATTGAGCAATACACCTAACGATCACCAAATTTGAATTAACATTTATAGAAAAAAAACTTATATCGCTACTCGAAAGTGTAAAACTGCATTTTATTTATGACGGGTTTACATTCTAGGACGGTGGGAGGGGGGGGGGGGGTGGTAAAAGCTTAATTAAGATCATAAGAAAGAGTAGAAGATCAATTCGACTCACATATAGTGCATTTAATTGCAGTTAGTTTTTAAAAAAAAACCACTGAACTGATCGTCAGTGGTTAGTCTAGCTGTATTGGTGAATTGATTTTAGTTAGCGAGGTAGTATTAGTCCAGTGGTAATGACTGTGATAATTACAAAAACTGTAGGTTTAGTTAAACTTAAATAATTTCGTACAAGTTGTAAGGGGGTGGGGGAGAGAAGCGAATATTAAAGAATAATGGGGACTTTAAAAACACTTCATTACATCAACACTACCTGACTGCTATTTAAAACTAGATATAATACTAGAAAGTTCGTTACACTAAGCTACGTTTCTTTAGCGTGCAGTAGCCACTAACATTAAACTAAAGCTCTACATTATAGTATAATATTTTATAATTAGATTATGACTGGATGTAAATTACTTGCACGTGAGTTGAGACCGCGCACATATCAATACATTTGGTGAGCTCACCGTTGTATTTTCTTTGACGCGCAAAATATTTCTTTCCATCGATAAACCGATTTAAAGCGTTCCACGCAAAGGCGCAGTGATTTTTTTCTTTCTGAGAACCCGTTTACCGTGCACGCACGTGAAGAGGAAGTTAAGTCGAAGGTCAACTGCTCACTTGACCTAAATACCCCGCTAGCCTTCGGGGTAGTTGTCCGGTAAATGAACTAGTACTCACCAACTAGGTCAAACCAACTGTGAAGATGACCTAGTTGATGTTAAGATAGATGCGGGGTGGTTCATAATCTTGTGAACTTTTAATCAACTCCCGCGAGTTGTTTTTTTCGGTGCTCACCAACGAAGCACGCGCGATGTGGGGTAGGTGGTAAAAATTTCAGAAACAGATTCCTAGCCGCCTCATATTTGTAAACAACCCACAACCTTAAAGAGAAACCTGTTATGGCGTTGATTGAAGGTGAAACTTTCAGGTATTATATGATCTTTTTTGGGAAGAATAAACGGCAACATATAAGTTATATTTTAAAAAAAAACGATAATAAGATGCTGCATTGAGTAGGCCTAGTTACACTTGTAGTTATTGAATAGATATCAAATGCGTGCGTAAGAGAAAAAGACAGTGTATACATATACACGTGTTTGTCTGTTTGTTAAATGTGCAATTTTCAATGTCTCGCTACTTTGTTGCGGCCGCTAAACGCCAATGTCTCGCTACTATGTTGCAGCCGCTAAACGCCAATGTCTCGCTACTATGCTGCGGCCGCTAAACGTCAAAGTCTCGCTACTTTGTTGCGGCAGCTAAACGTCAACGTCTCGACACTTTGTTGCGGCCGATAAACGTCACTGTCTCGCTCCTTTGTTGCGGCCGCTAAACGTCACTGTCTCGACACTTTGTTGCGACCGCTAAACGTCACTGTCTCGACACTTTGTTGCGGCCGCCAAACGTCACTGTCTCGACACTTTGTTGCGGCCGCCAAACGTCACTGTCTCGACACTTTGTTGCGGCCGCTAAACGTCACTGTCCCAAAGTGTTGGTGTTGCCGTTAAACGTCACCGATATGTTCAAACACGCCCTGTCAATTAAAGTCACGTGACGCCCGTATAGCCTGATGCGCGTCTGTCACGCAAGCGATCAGGGTGGACGATGTTACAGGAAGGGCGCCTGGTCCCCCACGTTTAACTACGTCCCGGCGAATGCGGCGTAAGTTACAGAAGTAAAATGTTACAGATTTTAAAAGTTACAGGATTAGAAATGTACAGCTTTTTTTTTCAAATTATCGAAGATTGATTAGACAAATGAATCGGTTTGGGTGATCAAATGTTGCCCCAATTTCAACAAAATGTTTCACTAGAAACGAAAAAGAAGTAGATAATTCATTCCTAAATGTAAATTACTTAACTAGGGGTTATGCGATCATGATATGAAGTGAGTCATCCAATATCTTAATTGCATACATGAGTGCATACGAGGTGCTCCTGCTATCATAGTAGATAACAGCAAATGTGATCGATGTTGAAAATATAGTGGACGTTGTACGCTGATAGAAAGTCTTTAATGGCAACATCGCGACATGCTAGAATATCTGATTCAATGTTTGAAAAAACAAATACTGCTTATTGTTCAAAAGTTTAGTCAACGTTACAAAATACAAACCCTTATAAATAAACATAGTGCTGACCACACTATCTCTTCATATGCCGAGGTCACAGAAACAAGTGAACTCTACTTCACTTGCCCTATAGACCGTCAGGTTTGAAAAGGAAACTTTACTTTTTATAAATAAACAAATATGGTAAACAGATTATGTGGTACTTACAACGTTAGAAAGTAGGTTATGGGGTACCTACAACGATTGAAATTTAAACAGATTAAAAGTGAATATAACCGTTAGAAAGTAAGCAGTTCATGCGGTACATAGAACGTTAGAAAGTAAACTGATTATGTGCTATTTACAACTGCTAGAAAGTAGATTATGGGGTACATACATTGTTAAAAAGTAAACAGATTATGAGTTACATACAAAGTTACAAAGTAAACATAATGTGCTACCTACAACGTTAGAAAGCACTCAGCTGCTAATTTAAGTTTGGCAATACCCACGGTGTAAAATATGAGACGGTATAATATCAGGACTGATGAGAAGGGCATTTCCATTTATTCAGCTGGCTGCCGAATGCCAGGCTGATTGTCCAATTAAACTAATAGCAGTAATTAACACAAAATTTCTGGCCAACTTTGGCCTATAGTCGAGCCAGCAACGGCCTTCCCCCTCTCCCCATCTTCTTGGAGAACAAAAATATAGTCAATTATTCGTTATATTATTATTGTTTCTATTATTACTTAAAATCAAGTCCGATTACACCAGTCTCACACCTTTCGTTTACTGTTTTTTTTAAAGTCCATACGACTACGAGTAATCAAAAGCGTGATATGTGCTGTAATTTTATCCATGACAATTATTATATTCTCCTGGACATTGTATTTACAGATAAGTGGTCTAGCGGTGGAGAGCTGGACTGCTAACCTGTAAGTCTCGAGTTCGAATCCGGGTTCAAGTCACTAGACCGTCCCTGAGCCCACCCAACTCTGATGGGTACCTAACTCACGTTAGGGAAAGTAAAGGCGGCTGGGCATAGTGCTGACCACACTATCTCTTCATATGCGAGGTCACAGAAAAAAGTGAACTTGCCCTACAGACCGTCAGATAAAAGTATTAAGTGTGTGGCCTCTCCATCAAGCCGTTAGGTGTTCACCCAGTCCACCCAACTGCAGTGGGTACTGACGTATGTTAAAGGAAAGTAAAGGAGGGTATAGTGCTGAACACACCATCTTTTCATATGCCGAGGCCCAGGAACATTAAATAAATTCTAATTCACCTGCCCAATGGATCACTAGGTCTATGAAGGAACGTTTCTTTTTTGTCGCATTACGAGTACTAACTTAGAACTAAGTTGCATAAATATGCTAGATGCACACAAAGTCAATGTCAGATATTTATAGCTAGATCTAGATCTATATAACAACAAGCTTCATGTAATCGTGTTCGCTAACTTACCTACTTCCTAGCATGTTATACATTATGTTCACCAACGGTATAAGAATGTAATCCCTATCACTTCGAACAACTCAGTCTCACCCAACGCAACACACCAACAACACACGTCCGGTCGACCGGCGACCTGCAGCACACAACTGACCGTTAAATTAATGTCCAGCCCGAGGCTATGAACACGCGTCATACCCTGAGCTGGGGGGGGGGGGGGAAACACTTTCGTTCAAGCGTTCACCGGCAAAATAGCGAATCCAAAGTTTTAAAATTTTTGACATGTACCGGTACACGCTTTGCTTATTTTTTTAAAAAGACGCCAGGTACGTTTCGCTAATTATATCCACGTAAAACAATCGTAAACCAACACTCAAACAGGTAGGAAAGGTAGTTTTAATATTCATAGCCACGTGCTACGAATAAAAAGGTTTTTTAATGTGAAAGTACCCACTAGAAATC